CCAGGACAGAGCCCTGTGGGACCCCACTGGTCACTTCTCTCCAGGATGTTTTGCTTTGGATCTTCCCAGAAAATCTGGAACCCTCTGGAGCAAATGACTATTCAAATGTACTTCCCATTGTGCTGCCTGCCATCGCTGGCATGGGTCACTCCCTATGAGGCCAGAATGAGGTGCCCAGTCAGATGGCTGATGCTGGGTGCCACGTTTTCATCCTTAGAAGGAGTGATGTGAACCACTACTGCTGGAAAGCACAGCGGGATGCACATGTGAACACCCATCCCCACATTGCTCCAGAGTGCCCAGATAGTGGGGGAATGTTGGGGCAGTTTCGGGGCCAGAATATTCCAGGATACTCCCAGAGTATATTATTTTATAAAAGTAACTTTCAAGACTCTAATCTAGTTCCATCCCATTGCTTGGTCTATGCCACAGGGAGGACGGCTTATTAGGGTTGCTGCATCTCAGAGGTTTGGGGATATTTGAAGGCCACCCAGTCAAAAGGACAGACCGATTCACTTACCAGCACACACATGCACAAGTGCACTGCTTTCCAGATCAACCTGTATAATCTGGTCCACAAACTATGTACAGTTGTATAGGCCAGAAATATAACTTTAAAGAGCAAATGCCCATTTGGGATAGATTTGTATAAACTAACAGTGAAAGGCGTATGAAGTTTCTTATTTATTTTACATTCTACTTTTCTCCCAATGTGAAATCAAGGTGGGGTACAAGGCTACCCCCAATTTATTTTCACAAAAACCTGTGGGGTAGATCAAGCTATCCTATGAGTTTAATGGCTCATTGAGGATTGGACCTGCATCTCCTAAGTCCAACCTAACGACTGGACACCCTGGACAACATGAACTAAGAGAGGACTAGGTTTTGTATACTAGAGTAAGTACAGAGGAAGAGAATGGGCAGGATTCACACCAAAGCTACTTAGCTTTGAACCTTTGTGTATGGGGCTCTAAGCATTTGAGCATACATTTTGGAACTGAGAACTGGTCCACAAAATTCAGAGATGTGTACTATGCAAAGAATAATTTTGTTCAAATCTTTTCTTGCTCTAAGAAATGTGAATTACTTTGGTTTACTTTAAAAAATTGAGCCAAATGAAATTCTCCAATAATCTTTCTTGCCTCCTCCTTTATCTTTCTTCTGTTTGTTAAATGTGACACAGCTTTGAATTTATTCTTCCTTCAAATGTATTGCAGGAATGAGATCCCTTGGGAAGTAATCCAATATATGCACTTGGTTGTTATGATCTATGGTGCAATGATAAATTACTGTGATGAACATACACATTTGCATTACAATCTCCCTTAAAGTTGGTTGTTCGTGCCTTGTCTGCTGGGGAAGATGCATACTCATAACCATATTCAGAGGTAATATGAGGCCAGTATGCAATTCCTTAGAAAAGGAGAAAGGAGGAATTACTTGAGCCTATGTAACAATCAAGAGCCAGCATGATGTAGTGGTTTAAGTGTTGGACTGTGAACCTGGAGACCAGGGTTCAATTCCCAGCCCAGCCATAAAACCCACTGGGTGACCTTAGGCAAGTCACATGCTCTCAGCCTTAGAGGAAGGCAATGGCAAACCTTCTCTAAACAAATTTTGCCAAGAAAACCCCATGATGCCTTAAGATTGCCATAAGTCAGAAATGACTTGAAGGCATACAACAACAACAACAACAACAACCATGATGTAGGAATCAGCCATTCCATCTCTTCTGCTGCAACATCATTCTCTTTGAGGAAGGGTCAGGCTGAAGTTGCTTAATAGTAATGTAATACTAAAAGCACTGTGCTTTCCACATATTCCTGATGGCTGCACTACACAGTTATTGGGATACCAGGCTCAGTCTCCCTTTATGGATGCTTGACTCTTTGTCCATCTCTCATCCATCATCTCCTACCACCTCAAACTCCTTTCTCCATTCAGTCCTTTGGCATCTTTCAAGAATAGTGCACTCACCACACTGCCAAGCACAGGACAGGGCAGAGCAGGGCAGGGCAGGGGACAATGACATCCATGATGAATGAGAGGGTGGAAAGATGTCTAACTCCTTCTCTAGCTGCTCATGATCTTATCCCTTATTTATGCTAGGGACAGTAACTTGTAGCCCTTCAGATGTTGACCGATTACACAACTCTCATTAGTTCCCATCTCTGGCTATGCTGGCTAGGGTTGATGACAACTGCAGTCAAATAACGCTTGGAGGGCCACAAGGCCATTGTCGCCAGTGGAGCACGGGGAAGGGAAGAGGTCCAACTCCAGATTTTGTATCTCAAAGTCACAAAAGTGGAAAAGATAAACTATAGTTCTCACACATATCTCTCCAGATCATGGAGCTGGACTTAACTGAGATATTTACTTGGGAATGCCAGAAATATAGTGTGTCTTCAACCATCCATGGGGTACTCTTGATGGGAGAGAATGTACAGGAAGTCACAGCTTGGAAAAGCTGTCGTTTTAGACTCTGGAAGTTGTAGCCCAAAAATATAACTTTCCCAACTTCTACAAGAAGCAATCTTTCTGATATTTTCTCCCCATACTCTTGTAATCTATGGTTTCTGCATGCCAGATCTTGAATCCTCAACACTGATGTGATATAACCAAAAGAGGCATTACTTTGCTAGAATGGGTGTGCAAGCTGCAGCCACACCAAGAGCTGAACCTTGGACCCCAAGAGTCTTAAGAAGGAAGTACCTGTGATTCCTAGCTTATTCAAAACACATATGCCAGTTGTGTTGGTTTACACCACCCAAGCTGGATGGGGATGATGGAAACTGTAGTCCAACACACCTAGGGAAACTAGCTGAAAGAGACTGTACATAATGAAATGAGTCCCCCTAGATAAGAAGACGATTAGCAATGGGAAGGGCAGTCATGAAATAACTAGAGAAGATCCTAAAGAGTAAAAAATATACAACTGAGCACCAAAATTAGAATTGTCCAAGTTATAGTATTCCCAGTCACTATGTATGGATGTGAGAGCTGGATTGTGAAAAAAAGCAGATAAAAAGAAAATAAACTCATTTCAGATGTGTTGGAGAAGAGTGCTGAGGATACCGATGGACAGCCAGAAAGACAAACAAATGGATCCTTGAGCAAATCAAGCCAGAAATCCCCCTGGAGGCCAAGATGATTAAATTTAGACTGTTGTACTTTGGCCACATCATAAGAAAGCATAACTCATTGGAAAAGACAATAATGCTGGGAAAGGTTGAGGGTAGAAGAAAAGGAGGTAGATCTCACACCAGATGGCTAGACTCAATTAGGGAGGGCACATGCATGGGTCTGCAGGACCTAAGCTGAGCAGTGGAGAACAGGGAGACTTGCAGATGTCTCATTCAAATGGTCATCATGAGTCGAAATCAACTTGGGGGCAGCTAACAACAACAGCAAGTCATCTGAAACATCCAGGCACTGGCGTCTGTACTCTGCAGGAGTCCAGGGACTCTATGCAATCAGGACATCATTATTCTGATTACTTTGGACATTTTCTAGGTTGATATGGGCTCAATTATCTCTATTTTTTAAATGGGGATCCCATTCCTTTCCCACCATCTGTTGCAGATCTTCAAATGATTATGTGGCCAGCTCCAAACATGGGGCCTGTCTATATGGGCCTGGATACTCCGGGGCAGCCCAGAGTATTCTAGCCTCTGTACTTCTCCTGTTACCTGGCACTCTCACTGCGATGCTGGGCAGTTGTTTGCACATACATCCCACTGTGCAGCCTGGTGCAGCTGCCACTTCAGCAAGTCACTCAATCGGAGGTCAAAGCAAGGCATCCACTGCTGATCATATGACTGGGCACCTTGTTCTGACTGAAGAGCTGGCAACCTGCTAGCACCATGCCTGGCCACACAGTGTGATGTGTGTGTGAACAGCTGCCCAGCATTATAATGGAAGGCAATGGATCTTCTGGAAAGATCTGGAGCAAAAGGTGAGTTATTTTAAATTATAAGAGGGATATACCCTTGGTTTTGTGCTCAATGGGCCAGATGTTGTTTGGACTGTTTGTATCAGAACTGAGGTTCGGGCCATGGGTTGTCCAGGCAAGAAGACTGGGAGGGGATATTTTATTTGGCCTGTGCTGACAGCCCCATGGAGACTACATCTTACCCTTCAGAAAGTGAGGTCAAAGATCCAGGCTGCCATTCTTGCAGCTCCCACCCACCATTCAAACAATCCATTCATCACTACCACTTTCTTCTCTTGCTTGTTATGATCAAAATGTCAAAAGCAACTTGCTACGTCAGGCAGGAGAGAAGAACAGATGGACAAACCATTCAAGTATTGGGCAGAAGGCAAAACTGTTATATACACACTGGTTGCTCCGGAGTCTTTCAGATTAGGCAGCCTTTAGGCTTAGAACTGGCAACTCTAGATGGAATAGAAAAGTAAGCTCCAGAGCAAGAAACGGTGCTCCAAATTACCTAGGTGGAACCCAGGTGCAACCCAGAACTGCACTGGCTTTTTTGGCTGTTGCATCACACCATTGACTCATGGTCAGTTTGTCATCTACTAAGACCCCTAGATCCTTTTCACAAGTACTATTTTCAAGACAAGTGCCATCCACCCTATATTTGTGTATTTCCTTTTTCCTGCCTAGATGTTTGTTGTTGTGTGCCTTCAAATTATTTTCAACTTATGATGACCCTAAGGCAAACCTGTCATGGGTCTTTCTTGGCATGTTTCTTCAAGGGGATTTGTCATTGCCATCCTCTGAAGCTAAGAGAGTGTGACCTGCCCAAGGTCACTCAGTGGGTTTGCATGGCCAAGTGGGGATTCGAACTCTGGTTTCCAGAGTCATAGTCTAATGCTCAAACTACTATGCCACACTGGCTCTCGCTTAGATGCAGTATCTTACATTCATCCCTGTTGAAATTCATTTTGTTAGTCTCAGCCCAACTCTTCAACCTGTCATCATCATTTTCAATTCTGTTCCTGCCCTCTAGGTATTAGCTATTCCCTGCCCCAAATCTGGTGTCATCTGCAAATTTGATAACCATGTCTCCTATTCCAACATCTAAGTAATTAAACAACACTGGGCCCAGGAAAAAATCCTGAGACACTCCACTTGTCACTTATCTTATCTTATCTTCAAGATGAAGAGCAACCAATGGCAAGTACTCTATAGATTCAGCCTGTCAACCAATTACTGATCTACCTAACTATGATATCACCTAGCTTGCCTGCAAGATTATCACAGGAAACCTTGTCAAAAGCCTTACTACAATCAAGATATACAGCAGTCCCCTGATCTAACAAGCTTGTAACTCTGTCAAAAAAAAAAAAAAAAAAAGATATAAGATTATTTTGGATGACTTGTTTTTGAGAAACCCATACTAGCTTTTAGTAATCACAGCATTCTTTTCGAAGTGCTCACTGACAGATTGTTTAATGATCTATTCTAGAAACTTTCCTGGTATTGATGTCAAACTGACTGGTCAGTAGTTGCTCATGTCCTCCCCACCTTTTGAAAATGGGGACATTTGCCAGTTTCCTCCAGTCTACTGGGACCTGTCCTATTTTCCAAGAATTCTCAAGGATTACTGCCACTGGCTCTGAGATTACATCTGGAGCTTCTTTAAAACTCTTGGGTGCAGCTTATCTGGTCCCAGAGACTTGAATTCAATTCTTAATTTTTGAGTGTGTGTGTCGTGTGTACCTTCAAGTTCTTTTCAACTTATGACAACCCTAAGGTGAATCTATCACAGAATTTTCCTGGCAAGTTTCTTCAGAGGGGGTTTGCCATTTCCATCGTCTTAAGGCTGAGAAAGTGTGACTTGCCAAGGGTCACCCAGTGGTTTTCATGGTCAAGTCAGGATTCGAGCCCTGAGCTCCAGAGTCAAAAGTCCAGTGCTCAAACCACTATACTATGCTGGCTCTGTTTTTGACTACAGTTCCCATCAGTCCCAGGCATCATGGCCAGTGGACATATGATTATTTTAATATTATTTTTATTTATATCCTGCCTTTCTCCCAGTATAGGGACTCACAGATGAGGTCAATGGTCATGGAAGATGGGAGGTAAAATCAAAAACATCTCAAGTGTACCAGGTTGTTGAGGACTAACTCAAAACAAGACATTTAGAAGCTGGTAAAAAAAGTGATACTTATTATCCTAAATGTTAAAAAGGAAAGTGTTGCAGTTTGCACACACACACACACACACACACCCTGTGTGCTTCCTCAAAGGGGAAGGGGAATTTTGAAGTTTTCAGATGTTACTTCCTGAACATGCTTTCAAACTGAGTGCCTAATTTGCCCTTGATGCTTGCATTCTTTCATGGAAAGCAGAGAATCACACTCTGCAGATGTTACGATCAGAGGCTCAAAACATCCCAGCCTCTCCTCCTCTTTGGGTTCTCAGGGTCTGTTCACACTGAGCTTTCAGTCTGCTTGGGTCCTAAGGAGTTTGTGCATACAAAATTCTAAATGAGAGTTGAAAGCATTCTGAGGAGTCTTAGAAGATACAGCCGTAGTCAAAAGAGCATTCTGTTCTCCTCTCTCGATGTTTCAGCACATGGAAGTAAGTAAGTGCGGAAGATACTGCACACACAATGATTCATTAGTATGGCAAGTCAGGGCAGAAATCTGTGGCTAGGGCATTCCTTTTCTCTCAGCAAGGAGAGGTTCTAAGGGCCATCTCTTATGAAAGAGCATATCCGAAAACAGCCTACCTTCCCAGTGCGGACACCAGACCCAAAGCGCAATCTGATCGTTGTTTACTTAGAAGAGGGGAACACAATCTTGTCTGCACCTGTTGTCGCTTTCCCTGCAGCTCTAAAACGCACTGGGTGCATACTTTCCAACTGTCTCTATTTGGAAGGGACGGGACTGATTAATCCTCTCTCATCCCAAAGTTTCAGCTTTAAAATGTCCCAGTTTCTCTCGCTTCCTTGCACTTTCTCCCTTCACTTTTCAGTTTAACTGCAAATTTTCAATTACTGCAGACTGAGTTGAAAGGGCAAAAGTAGTTAGCATAAAGCAGTGTGATAGGGAAGGAGAGACAGGGGCAGATTCTTGTGTTTCCCAGTAGGTGGCCTTCTTTTCCCATGGAAGAAACTCCCCATTTAACACCACTTGCTTCCCTTCTCAATCCGATCTTAAAACTTCTCCTCCAGCGCCTGGGAATCGGGAAAGGTCCAGAGAAGGACAAGGAGGGACAGAAGTGGTATTTCTCCCTTTCCATCCTTCATTAAAGCCCCCTAAGTTTTACCCTTGACTTATCCACATGTCATATCAAAATCCATGATTTTGACCCTGAAACCTTCCCTCGACTTATACATGAGGTCGACTTGTACACGAGTATATATGATAGGCTATCAAAAGAACTAAAAGCAATTAAAAAGCATGAAAAAGCAGAAAAACAAAAGAATATAAACAACACAGCACATTATAAAAGGCTCTTTTCTCCCCTGAGCAATCGGCTGTCAAAGGCGTAGTGAAGCAAAAGGTCTCTACCGGTGTAGGGAAGGATAGCAAGGAGGGTGGCAGTCTAGTTTCTCTGGGGAGTTCCAGATCTGGGAGCTGCCACCAAGAAGGCCCTCTCCTGTGTTCCCACCAGATGTACCTGTGAAAGTGGTGGGACAGAGAGAAGGACCTCCCCACAGGCTCATATGTCCTTCAAATAACCTGGACCTGGGCCTTGTAAGTCATAACTAGCAGTTGTAATTGTGTCTGATAACCTGGACCTTAGACATATATTGCCAACTGTCAATAAGGAGAGCTCCCCCTCTCCCCACTTGCCTACCTACCTGCCTATGCCATTTATATATTGCCTCATAGCCTGCTAGGTCCCCTGAAGTAAGTGACGCATAACGGATAAAAACTTCCAAAACAATACACAGACAAAAACTTTTAAAAACAAACTGGAAATACTACAGTTAGCCCTTGGTATCTGCTGGGGTTTGGTTCGAGGACAGACACACACACACCCCTTGGATAAAAAAAAA